AGGTGTATCAATTACCTCGCGCGCCGCCGCCTATGGCGCGTTTTTTGTTGTTGGGGGAGGGTTGATCGTGGCTCCGTGGGTGTTTTAAGGAGGGCTGTGTTTGGAGATGCTGCAGTCAAGCGTTTCGGCGCGAGCAGAGGGGGGGGTTATGAGAGGCGAGACAGCCTGAGAGATCAAAAGATAGGCAGGGGCAACACACACATACCGTAAGGTGACACAAGATATCACCCCCCCCTGAACCGATTCTCAAAGCTCGACTACACCACGACCAAGAGGATGCCCCGATCAAATAATACCACGTTTTTTTCGGAAATATCTCGACCACACGCTTCCATCGCCACCGTTTTCGGTGCCGCCACTCATTCTATTTCAGGTCAACCGACCTTTATAAGTGGGTCCAGGTGATGTCGTCTCTTGTGTCACCTACGGGAAAATACACAATTTCTGCCCGTTAGCCATATGATACGGTAGCACTGGAGTATATAGCGCAGGAGGAACGAACCTGAGGTGCGCAGGCAGCTTTCTGGATAGTAAATCGATATTGAAGCGTCCAAATTGCCATTAATTCTCGGCTTGTTGATGTTAGCAGCAGCGGTCGAAGACGATGTCCATTTCGTCTGTTGCTCTTGCTACTACTTTACCGCGTAGGTGGCACGGGATTCCGCTAGCCGTCTGCGCCACTAGCCTGCCCTTTTGACAAATCTGAGAGCTACTTGGAGACAGTGACAAATGGGGCCGGCACAGGTATCGAACATGAATCTGGAAACAGTCCACAAAAACCACCTGAAGACCTGAAGAGATCTGTTCAGATGGGTTTGTGCGCTGTTCACGGAACCGTTTTCGATACCTTTGCAGATTCGTGCGAGGCATCGAGCATGGTTCTTGGAACGGTCCACGACGGCCAGCTCAAGGGATGCTTTTGTTCAGCACAATGTTCTGGACAAGAAGCATCCCTTTAGCTGGTTGCCGTAGAGCTTTCCGAGAAACTTTCTCGATATCTTTGCAGACCCGTGTGGGGAACTGAGCATGGTCCTTGGGAACGGTCAACGACAACAAGCTGAAGGGATGCTTTTGTTCAGCACGATGTTCTGAACGAAAGCATCCCTTCAGCTAGTTGTCGTTGAGTTTTCCCAGAACCGTTCTCGATACCCCGCACGGGCCTCATTTATGACCGTCCCTACGTAGCTCTCGGAATTGTCGAAGGGGCAGGTTGGTGACGTCAGACGACCCGCGTAGTCCCGTACCATTTGCGCAGCAAATAGTAGCAGAAGCAGTAGAGCAAGATGGACATTGTAAGTAGTTGTCGCCTACGGTGAGTGACTCTTTCGCAACGCCAGCAGCAGGAACAGCACGCAGGCGCTGGTGATTTAACGCTTCGCAGCCGTTCTCGCGCGCCGAACTCCAGGATAGACTGTTCCCATTCGCGGGGGGAGCCGCGATATTGGGTTGAAGCACCAAGTTGAAGTCAATCCCGGCTTGTTGTAGCAGCGAACGTAGTAGGTGTTGACGGCATGGACAGAGGTTTGCCGCTCGCCGCCTACGACCGGAGAGTGCTGCAAGAGTATCGTGTCGGAAATGCTAATCAAGGGTGGTGATGGTGATGGTGGTGGTGGTGGTACCGTTGGTGACGTAAGATACCAGCCCCCCCCCCCCCCCCCTTGGACCGATTTGCCGAGCTCGATTACTCCACGACGAAGATGATGCCAAAATCAAACGATACTGTACGATTTGGGAATGCTCCCCGATGCGGCGGTGCCGACCCTGGTATCACCACTCTTTCTGCTGTCGAGTAGATGTAACAGTCGAGCTCTGAAAGTCCACCCAGGGGGTGTGATATCTGACGTCGTATGACCTACGGCAGTATGTGGCGGGAACAGGAGTGAAGATAGAAGCAGTAGCGGTGGTAGCGATACAGCGTGGACAATGTGGGTCGTTGCTCTTAGATGGCGTTCGGACGCAGGCACAAAGTAGGCTTTTGCGTTGAGGCCCCCGGGCGCACTTTGTCGCAACCAACATCGGGAATAATTTGTCTTGCCTGACAAACCCTACCCCACTGCTTGCGTCGTGCGTCTCGTGTGTGTGCGCGCAACCCCCCGCAACCAACCATTGTTTTCTCAAATCCTATCTCTCGCCTTGCGCCTTGTGTGTGACCCCCCCCCCCCCCCAG